GTGTGCTTGGTTCTCCTATTTCTACTGGAATCAAAGCCTCCGCACCATAAACCATTGAAAATGGGGTTTCTCCCGTGCTTGTTTTTGTCGTTGTACGATAAGCCCATAATACCCCAGGTAATACCTCGGGCCAATTACCTTTCGAATCCTGTAACCTTTTCTTCAAGTTGTTGATGATAACCTTATTCGTGGATTCCGCTTGTCCATTCCCCATGGATGATATGGCGTAGATGTTATCCTTTTAATCTGCCAACTTTGAAAAAATTCTGTGATTTGGGCTCCTATGAATTGTGGTCCATTATCACACACGATTTCCTTTGGTACCCCAAAACGGCATATTATGTTTCTCCAAATGAAGTCTTTAACTTCTTTCTCCCGCACCTGTTTAAATGCCCCTGCTTCTACCCATTTAGTGAAGTAATCTGTAAGCACAAGTAGAAACTTTACCTGACCTTTTGCTTGTGGCAATGGACCTACGATATCCATTCCCCATTTCATAAAGGGCCACGGAGCTATGACAGGGTGGAGTAACTCAGCTGGTCTATGCATATTATTGTCGTATCTTTAACATTTATCACATTTAGACACGAAATCGTTAGCTTCTTCTTCCATCTTGGGCCAATAATATCCTGCTCGAATCAATGTTTTTACTAGCGACCTCCCACCAGCATGACTTCCGTAATGTCCTTCATGTATTTCCCTCATCGCATATTCTGTTTGAGAAGGTCCGAGACACCTTGCTAATGGTCCATCGAACATCTTTCGATAAAGATTCTATAACGACCCGACCCGTTGTTCCGGGAGTTACCGCCCCGTTTTCCCCGTTTTATGCTTCTATATGTTTCATTATATGTGTTTGGAAAATTTGAAGTAATTCGGATGGAGTTTGGTTAGAAATGAGACAATAAGTCTCTTTATGAGAGGTTAGTTTGGAAAAGTCAACCGAATGTTGACTTATGAGTTAGAAGGCTCGGAATGGATTTCCGATTCTTCGACTAGTTTCGGGGGATGATTTGTGACTTAGGAGCGCAATCGGAATTGAATTTGGAGGTCCGGTGTAGAATTAGGCTTGAATTGGCTAAGGTTGGATTTTGGCGAATTCCGGATGGTAGGTGAGATTTTGATCTGAGGGTCGGAATGGAATTCCGAGAGTTGCAGTAGCTCCGTTAGGTGATTTTGGATATGCGTGCAAAGTTTCAGATCATTCGGAGGTGTTTAGGCCGGGTTTTAGATCAAATGCAAGTTTCGGAAGTTTTAGTTTAACTTAGGCTTGAATCCGTGGGAATTCGATGATTTTGGTGTTTATGATAGTGTTTTTATGTTACGAGCAAGTTTGAATGAAGTAATAGAACATATATGTGCATTTGGTTGAGGTCCCGAAGGCCTCGGGGTAATTTCGGATAGCTAACGGGGAGTTTAAACTGTGAAATTTGCAGCGGGAAATGCAGCAGCAGTGCAGGCCTGTTTTGGCCTTCGTGTTCACGAAGGCAGGCTCGCGTTCGCGTAGGGTTAATGGCCTGGTGCATCGCGTTCGCGTATAAGTGATCGCGTTCGCGTAGTATTAGCAGCTGAAGCATCGCGTTCGCATGTAGAGTAACGCGTTTGCGTAGAGGAATTTTGAGGGAGAGGAATTTTGGCCTCCGCGTTCGCGTCTAGGGGCCTCGCGATCGCGTAGGGGAAGCTGGTGAACCATCGCGTTCGCGTAAAGGAGGATCGCGTTCGCATAAGTGAAGGACCCAGGCCTTCGCGTTCGCGTGGATGAAGCTGCGTTCCCGAAGGGCATTTTTGGCAGAGTGGTAATTTGGTCATCGCGAACGCGGGAGGACCATCGCGTTCGCGTAGAGTAAAATACCTGGACAGAAGGGTTTTAAAATAATATTTCATCCGCGACTCTTTCATATTTTTCCTCCATTGTTGATGTTCTTAAGAGCTTTGGACAAGGAAATTTGAGGGTTTTGACTGAGAATCACTTGGAGGTAAGTTCCTTGGCCTAAATATTCGAGTTTATGGTAGAAATTACATGAATATGGTGGAAAATTCATCAAATGGGTTAAGTTAGNTGCATCATCAAAAGTGATACTTTCATCTTCTAAGGTTTGTCGCACTCGCTTCCCGTGCGTGATTGTTACTTTGGAAACTTTATTTGAAGCCGTATATGTTACTCCATAAATATCCTCTCCCCCACTTATAACATTCACGGTTCTCTTGGGTGATGGGGGCTTTGGTGGTTCTTGCCTATTTTTCATGTAGGCTTGCTTACCTTTCTCACTAAATAACTCAGTGAGATACCCTTGTTTCAATAGATGGTCCACTTCACTTTGCAAGAATCTACATTCTGAAGTCTTATGCCCGTGATCATTGTGAAATTCGCACCAATGATCTGGATTGCGCTTATTTGGATTTGACCCCATCTCTTTTGGCCACCGTACCTTATCTCCCATACTCCTCAAAATAGCTACGAGCTTGGAGGTAGTGACGTTGAAATTATATCCACCAAATCTTGCCTTCAAACTTCCATCATCATCTCGTGACCCGCGTGTGTTTCGATCATTCCCAAACCTTGATGAGGAGCCTGATTCCCTGTTCCTAGGTCTGTGATCATACCTTTGATTATCTTGTCTTGACCGTGACGCCTTTCCCGCAGGTCCCATGTATGGCTCGTACCTGTTTTTACCGGATCTTTTTTCATTTTCAACACGCCTTGAGCTTACCTTTTCTTCTGTTTTATGTCGTAAAATAATGTCTTCTTCAATCCTCATCTTTGTGTTGTATCTGTTGTAGACATCATTCCACGTTGTTGCTGGGAATTCTCGAAGGCTTTCTTTGAGTCGCCTCGTGGCTTCTGAACTCTTCTCATTTAAATTACTAGCAAAGGCTATGGCTGCCCAATTGTCAGGTACTCGTGGCAGCGTCATTCTTTCCCGTTGAAATCTATCTACGAACTCTCTAAGCAACTCTGAGTCTCCTTGCTTGATTTTGAAGATATCTTCCATTCGCTTTTCAACTTTTTGAGCTCCCGAGTGTGCTTTGATAAATAAATCTGCAAGCTCAGCAAACGAATTTATAGAATTTTTAGGTAAAAGAGAATACCATGTTAGGGCTCCTTTAGTGAGTGTTTCACCGAATTTTTTGACCAAGACCGACTCGATTTCTTGCTTAGTCAAATCATTGCCCTTGACACCTGTTGTGAATGCAGTAATGTGATCTCGTGGGTCTGATGTACCATCATACTTTGGAATATCAGGCATCTTAAACTTCTTTGGAATTGGAAGGGGAGCAGCGGTTGGCTTCCATGGTTGTTGGGAATATTTATCTATATCCACACCCTTGATCACGGGCGGTACTCCAGGTATTTGCTCTATGCGTTCATTTTGCTCCTTAAGCTGTTTTTGCAAAGTAAGTACTAGACTTTGTAAATCAGAATTAACTAGATTACCTGGGTCTCCCTCTTGTGTTTCACTAGGGGTTCCACCGCTGCCAGAATTAATCAATCCTGAACGAGGATTCTCCAAAGTGTTGTTGTTTGGAGCAGATGTGGGTGGGACAACAGGCAATTGGCGAACAAAAGCTTGGAGAGCGTTATTGACTTGAGAGGCAATAAGTTTTTGCAGAGCCTCATTCATGGTTTCAACGTTTTCGAATTGAGCCTGTCCATCTGTATAAGATCCATCAGGAGTGCCTTCACGAGATCGTCGTGGGGAGCCTCGTGGAGAATCTTGTAGAGATCCTTGTGGGGAATCTCCCTGAAGTTGTTGGACTGTCTGAATTTCTGGGTTTCCTTGAGTGTTGTCATTGTTGTTCGACATGATTGATGCAGTCAAGGAAATTAGATTGAGATATGCTGAGATATGCTTGATTATCAGATTCCCGGTAACCAATTTGTTTAACCAAAACAAATAGAATTTCGGTTAAAACTAGAAATTAAGAAGAAAAATCGGGTTGCTGATAATCAGGAGACGAAAAGAATAAGAAATTTTTGAAGATAATAAAGCAGTAAATAAGTTCGTATTTCAATGTAATCTCAATGATATTTTTTTTCCTTACAAATGCCGAGACCTCCTCCTTTTATAGTTGATTTTTCTAGGAAAAGGTATAATGCCTTAGCCTTAAAGAGGCAATTATGAGCATTAAATGACATTAAATGAAACGTTACACAATCATTCCTAATCAATACTGATTCGCTAACGTATTTGACATTTAATACTGAATTTAGACTCCTTTATGCCATCAGATTCATATCTTCAATTCCTTCTGACCTCCTGACTTTAATTAAGTTAAATAGATACGAGACTCGTATCATTTGAATAGCATCTCGTGCCTATTTAACTTTCTTCTCCTCGTATCTGATATCTCCCGTGCCTCTTAATTGCTCATCATGTTTTGACCATTTGACCAGTCTACGTATCATGCCACGTCATCTTCAATTATAAATTCAGTTTTTTTTCCAATACAATATATACAACGTAAATACACTAGACAAGCTAATATTAGTATGGCTCTGTACACTTTTGGCACTTCATAGGAGAACGCTATAAAAATAATGGTAAAGAAAACGACACAGAGAAAGAGTTGTAGTGTCTCTATGTTGTTTGCTGCTACTGTTTTCTTCTGGGCGAAGCTAGAATTTTAGTCAAGGGTTCAGACTTCAGTAGAATTCAGTAGTTTTGGCCTAAATCCTATATTTGTTTTATGAAATTCACTAAATATGTGTAACTAATTTATCCAGAAGCCATTAAACTACCTTTCCATAAACTTAATTTGGCTCCGCTACATCCAAATTGAAACACTCACCAATGGTGTCCCTTTCCATTCCAAGACCATTTCATGTTGCCTTTGTTCTTCAATCCTCACCTTTAATGGAGTTTCTCTTTCATTGACCAATTCCTTGGCTTGTAACAAGTTCTCTTTGCTTATTCTTTTGCCTTTTAATCCAATTTCTCCACAAGAATCACAAGTATTTCTCATCTCTTCCCAGTTTTGAAACCAAGAAAATGAGCAGACTTGAGGTGCTATAAAAAGGGATTCCATGGCAAGTCTTGCTTCTGCAAGATAAGCTGGAAAATACAACTCCAACGACTCGAAAATCGACTGGTAATATACCAAATTCTTATTAAAGAATGTAGAAAAAGTATTAGTATTGTGCCTATTGTCCATTGCTTCTCCATCACCAAAAGTGACAAGTCCTGTGTGAGTTGAAGAATTGGCTAATAACATTTCCTTAGCTAGTTTTAGAAATTCCAAGGCATGGATTCTGCACCTTGTTTTTCCCATGTGTGGGAGTTTAAACATACAATTGAAAACCAACCATTCATTCCCTTTTCCCCTTTTTTTCATTCTTCTCATTTCACTTGCCAATTCTTCAACTGTCATCTCCTCAATTTGTAATCTTAGGCCAAAAGGTTTTGCATAATCAAGAAGTCTTCTTTTTATCTCCTCAAATCTCCACTGATCACTGGTTGATTCTTCCTTTGTTTTCTTTATGGATGTTAATTTCAAAGCCTTTCTTCTTTGACAAATGGCTTCAATAATTGGAGGCCATTGAATCCCTTCTCCCATATCAAAATCCACTATGTGAATAGTTTCTACGTCATCTGGAATGGATTCCAATATTGCTGAGTTAGCAGCAAAATGAGCAAATTTCCCTATTGGGAAAATTTGGTAGAAAGCCTTAAATGCTACTTCAAGATTGTTGCTTGATTCTTGTTTTAAGTAATCTTCTTGATCCTCTATCTTCAAGAACAAATTGGATGCAACGCGTTCCAATGATTCGCCTAAAGGATTTATTTTTCCCTTTATGCTTCTTATGATCACTTCTGCTAGTTCCTTATGACCATTTTCTATGGCCTCTCCATATGCTGCTAATAAATGATGAAGGCTTATTTGAGTATTCATTTCCTTACTATTTCCTGGAATTACAAGTGAAATGGCACTATTTGTTGATACTCCTGAAATAGCAGGACTCCATAAATTTCCATCCTTTTGCATCTCACAAGAGATAGAAATATTCATATTTTCATTTCCTTCACTATCATTTAACCATCTACAAACATCATCAAACTCCAAATCATCCATTGAAAGATCAGTAAAAACATCATCAGGAAAAAGGGATGTGAAGTCTGAGAAGGCAATCCCAGAGGAGTTGAGTGAAGAATCAGAAAGACCATATTTTTTATTTTCAATTTGGATAGCACAAAATTCAGTTTGAGGGAAAGTTGAAGACCATGAGTTACGAAGAAGCTCTGATTGCATCATCTTCTTGATGTTTGTTAGTTGTTACAAGACAAGAAAGAAAGTTTTCTTTTTTAGGTTTGTGTTTCACTGCTTGTTCTGAATGATTGGTGTAGGTATATATAATAGCCTGGAGGAAATTTAAACTAATATCTTTTAAATATAATTCTCAAATGAGAAGTCATAACATTTGAAATTTCAAATTGGAGACTAGAAATCTAAAAAATATAAGCTTACATATAAAGAAGGGAAAAAGTCCAGATTTACCATTTTATTATGAAGTAGCTTAATTTGTGTGCTTCGTTTTACTTTGTACCATTCATACTCTTGTCATTAGCAAATCGTCTCGTGTTTATCATTAACTTTAATGGAGCTCTAGCATTGTTTGAGCGTATTCCATTATACAAAATACTTCGAAAAAAGGTGCAAATTTAATGCTATACTTTTGACTATGGTTTAATATTAAAATTCTTATATTTGATGTTGGAGATCTGCTAGGGTCTAAGGCCAAATACGAGATGATTTGCTAACGACAAAGGTATGAATAATTTCAACGTTATAGTATAACAGAGGGAAAAATTAATATGGTTCGCCGAGGGGTACTTTTTTTTAAATATTATTATTATTATTATTATACCTTTTCCCCGATAAAGAATTCCCATTTTCTTTAAAAACCAATAAGATATAGACAAAAGACTAATTAACTGTTTGTACAGAGTTTCTTCCATTAAAGTTCAATGTTGAGTCATCTTCATTTCTTGGAGTGTTCTAGGTTATTTTTATATTCCAAGTTATTTTAATTACATGTCATATCAGTAATCACTATAGGAAATTATTCATATTGCCACAATTTTGTCCTGAATGTATTAAATAACAATTTACTATATAATAGACCACAAGTCTTCTTCAGATTGAAAGAACAACAAATGGCTTGATTAAGGATTAGGACTCATATTGTTATTCTGACTATTTACTACAAATACAGAACAGCAGCTTTTGCTTCATTCACAAGCTCATTTATTTTATTTAAAAAATTGTTAAATCATTACTGAAAGTTGACATAATGTCACTATTGATAATATTATTATCAAGAATAAATCCAGATTAGTTACACAGTCTTGATTTCACTCTCTCTTGCATTCAGCATCACTAGTGCAGGACAAATCATTCACCACATTAAATATTTTTCAAAGGTCTGTTATTTTTCTAAACAACAATAATACTTCCTTTTTTAATTTAAATTTTTTTTTTATTTTCCATTTTTGTCTTGATATGTCTTGTGCACACTTATCATTGGCATCTGGCATTGTCCCAAGGGTTCAATTATGCTTTAAAACTTACTGAACAAAATTAAAATAAGTTTCTTGATTCAGGGGGTGTTAAGCCCCGTCAGAAATGGATGTTACGTATGAAAATATATGGTGCATGTTTTCTAGTTTAGATCATGTTGATTTTGTACAAATTTCTAGGATTTTACTTTTCCTCATAACTTAGCTAAATTTTTAGTTTGTTTGCTTAATGAAGTCTCTTGGGAAACGATGTTCTCATATTGGATTGTAAATGAAGCTGCGCACTCCTTTCGACATATTGTAAAGTTTTAACGCACAAATAACAACATAATACAATGTAGACTTGTAGTATGATCAGGTACAAAATAAAAGGCCTTTCAAGTTCTTGAAATTGGGGACAAAAGATGAAACTTTCTTGAACTTGGTAAAGCTGCATTGGTAGATAGAGGTCCATGGGAGTTTTTTCTTCAAATTTCAACACAAATTGAAAGCAGTGAAACAGGCCTTAAGGATGGTTGAAAACAATGAAGAATATGACAAATGAAGCAATTAACTTTTTCCAGCAACAGTTTTCAGAGGAAAGGATAAAAGATGATACTCCTAACTTTGATATCATTAATCATGTGCCTAGAATGATTAGTGAAGAGCAGAAAGCAACAATGACAACATTGCCCGCAGTTGATGAAGTCAAGCAAGTGGTTTTGAGTTGAAAAAAAATAGTGCTAGTGGCCCATATAGTTTCACAAAAGCATTTTTCCATACTCGTGGCACATATTATTGCTGATGATGTTACAGTTGTGGTTAAGAACTTCCTCCAGGGATGTGAATTATCCTGATTTATTACACATACGAATTTGGTTTCTTCTTCCAATGAAGAATATGGTGTCCGATTGTGCTGATGTATGAGGTAAAAGTAACGAATAACAGGTGGACGTTCGTCGATTTGACACGTGGCAGTAAAGACATGTAGGATATGAGTCAGCAAATAGCTAACATAGGGTATATGCATGTGCCAATGGTGTATGGGTTTCGATGACATTAAGATCAGAGAGGAGAATTTGAAAGCAAGGTACCGGTTGAAAAATGCAGCATTAAAGGTTAGCTGTTACAGAGAATCCTAGCATTTACACTCAACTGTTATGCAGCTATCAAGAGGGGTCTTTATTCACCTTAAAGAGGAGCTTGATTTAAGGATCTTGTCTCCCCTAATTTTGCCATAAATAGAGAAATTCGTACTCGTTGATGGACACAAAACACTTGTATGAAAAAAGACTAATATTACTCTCTTTTTCTGCTAAATATTATTGTACCAGAATTTAGTTTTTGATATTATTCTTGTTTCCGGAGAAGTTCAATTCAAGGCTCAGACTCGTCTTTTCTTGAATTATTCTTATTTTATTCAATATTGTTCTTCATTTCTTTATTTTCTCGGATCAATTTAATTCACTTGTCTATAAATTACGTTACAAATATAGCGTTTTATGAGAAAGCAGTTTGGCGTCCACCATGAGGCATAGACAATTGTGATATTACTTTGATCCATTCATCTTTTATTAATTCAGATAATGCTATGACGAATAAGAAGATATCCAGAAGCATACATGAGATATGACAAACTAATTACGAGGGACCTTTGTTATTCTCGGACCAATACTGCATCTTATCCTTTGTTCTTAGTTTATACATTGACCAAAGTCTCATCCTTTGCTAGACTAGTCTCATTCAAGATTTATTATGATCTTTTCTTGATCATTTTTTGTACTTTTACCAAAAAAAAAAAAAAGAAACTTCCTAACCAACAATTAATTATGTTCCGTGTCATGGGTCTCTATTATTAAGACCAACACAATGTTGTATAAGTGGAGAGAATGATGGCCTCTAAAGTTTAACATATCCGACCGCTGTAGTGATGAGGATACTAAGATAGATATGTATCAACATAAGATTAGGTAAGATTAAAAATGATCAATATTCACGGAAGGTGCAAATAACATACATTAATGATAAAATAAGAGAATGTCACTTGAGATAGTTTGATCATGTCATACACCGACCTCCAGATGAATAAGCTTACTTTAGGTCCAATATTTTCCACGAGTCTTCTAGTGATGCCAAACATTTATAAGCTAGTAGAAAAGATAGATAAACTACAGTACTTCTTCTGAAGGAGAGCCTTTGCGTAACTAGTAAAGTTGCTACCATGTGACTAGGAGGTCACAGATTCGAGCCGTAGAAACAGCCTTTTGCAGAAATGCAGGATAAGACTGCGTACAATAGTCCCTTATAACCCAGCCATTCCCTCGACCCCGCGCATAGCGAGAGCTTAGTGTACCGGGTTGCCCCTTATAGTATTTCTTCTTTTTATTTTATTTTTAATTCGGACCTTCTTTTTATTTGCACCGTGTGTCTGCCCCTTTTTCCTTGCCAATCCGGATTGCTTTTGAAGAATTTGTTCAATAATGCATATATCTCGTCAAAGCTTTTCTCCAACACTTGACCTCCAGCTGCAGCATCTACCATAATTTTAGTTTCAGGATGTAGCCCTTCTATGAAAGTGTGAGCTAACACTTCGTTTGTTGGATTGTGATGAGGACAGTCTCTGAGTAGCCCCTTGAACCTCTCCCAAGCTGAGTATGGAGACTCTCCCGCTTTCTGTTTGAAGGCAACTATCTCACTTCTGATCTTTGCAGTTTTGCCTGAAGGGAAGAACCTTGCCAGAAATTTCCTTGCCAAATCATTCCATGATGTAATAGAATTAGCTGGTTCTGCCTTCAGCCATCGCTTTGCTTTGCCCAACAGAGAGAATGGAAAAAGTGTGAGCCTCACATAGTCTGGAGTGACTCTGTTAGTGATATAAGTATCACTAATCTCCAAGAAGTTCAGGATATGCTATTGTGGATCCTCATGTGGAAGATCCATAACTGCTCATTCGCATGAAGTAGCTAGATCATGCTCTGTTTCATTTCAAAGTGCCCAGTGATTCTGGGCTTCACAATGCTGGAGGTGACATTAGCAATGCTGGACATTGCCACCTCCTGAACAGCCATATGTTCCTCTGCCATGTTCACATGAAATTGAACAAGTGCCTGAATATTATTCGTGTCCTTTATTGCTTACCTCAATCTCCTATGAAATGTTCTCTCAGGTTCGGGGTCAAAGCCTTGAAGTCGGTACTGGCTTCTGACCCTGCGCATTCAATCAAAGTTCCTGGGATTAGAGCAACAATTAAGTAACATTAGACTTGACGAAATAAACAATGAAAGCAAAAACTAGAAAGTAGTCAATATTCAAGTCCCCGGCAACGACACCAAAAACTTGGTGTTCCCAAACGCACACGCAAGTATACGTGGTCGTACAAGTAATTAAATGATAAGTCAAGTGTCTAACCCACAGAGACTTGTATCAACTACCCACTAAAATCACCAAGATTGTTATTTAGCCAAGCCAAAATCAAGTTCAAGTATGTGATTATACTAAATTATAATTTTAAGTAATAACTAAATTATCAAGCATTAAAATGATTGTTATGTATTCAATAGAGACAAATATTCCAGGGTTGTGATCGATTCACCAGTCCTATTGTGTTCTAGTTAACTCTCTCTCTCTCTCTCTCATACAATTCACTCATGGTTGCTAATTAATCGATAATTGCTCTCATAACCTTCTCCCGAAGTACTACTCGCCTATTAAAAATAGATTAACACCTATATTCCTATGGAATCAATCTATCAAGAACGCATTAAGATTACGATATTTAATTAAGCATGGTGACTAGGTATATTCCTATCCTAACCACAAATCCGCCCCCTAAGAGTTAAGATCATGCTCTCTTCAATTCTTC